ATAAACTTCCCACTTATGCCTCACTCTTTTTTTCCTTATAGCAACGAGTAAAAGTTTTTCCCACAAATCTCTTAAGATTCAACAGAGCTCCATTTCTATCTGAAGATTTTCTCTTTTACTTGGCAGAGTACATTTGCTTTTAAACATTATACGTTCTGCATGCGACACGAGTTTCATAAATTAGGCTGCGTAGAGCGTATATTAAAATTCGTATCGTATCAACAATGTGACCAAATTTTGGAATGACCTGTTCACAAGTACAGTAACTGGCCGAAAGGCGGTCTAGTTACTTTGATTTACTTTATATTTTCAATTATGATTCAGTGTGGCGTAAGTGTTACAAAGTATTGCACTGAATATTGTTACGTTGATTTACCGTTTTGAATACGTTTCGAGGTGTTTTGGGTCCGTTGGCGTTGCTTTTAAATAAAAGCATAAAGGTTTTAGTGTTTTTTTGTATTTGCCATACGGTTAACAAGGATTCTGAAGGTTTCGCGGATTCATTTTTGTATCTAGTAATAATCATTACTATGGCGTATAAACCTTATGTTTTCAATATTAACTGCAAATGAGACACAAAAATGGTCTTTGTCATAAATTGTTTTAATATTACCTATAAACGATTTGTTTTTTATTGAGGTAGCTTTTCGTGATCGGTGTCACCAGCCACGTACTAATTGCTAACGTTAGCGCGGCGGGCAAGAGAGCTTGCTGCACCAGAACCAAACCCGAGCGTACGAAGAGCCATTCGGCCACCACCGAATGGACCAGATGGAGCTCAATTGGGCCAATGTTCAACCGAGTCAGCGGATACAAGTGCAATAATGTGTACCGCAGGTTAGATCAGTAGAAGCAACTTGGAAGATTAGTCAATAAGCCTGACACAAAAAAAGTGGCATATAGTCGAATTGACTATAAACCACCTCGTTCCTCCGGTCGCTCTACTTTGATGATTTTTCTTTCTCAAATAAAAGCCCAGTATTCGCAATGAGGCACCGCGGCTTCGGCCCAGAGCAAGAGAAGTAACGGTTTTTAGTCAGTAAGTGTCTGACACTCTTGCCTTACCCTGGACGTGAGCAATCATGATGATTTTCCACTGACAAAAAAGCAGTGCTGTTTTGTGTTCGAAAATTTATTTTCATTCCATAATTTTTTTATAATAATAATTTATAATATGTATCAGATACATGTTGTACGGATTTGGGAAGTAAAAGAAGTATGTAAGGATCATAACACGAACCGGTTGTCAGGCAGTAGGTGTACCTACGTTTTATACATTTCTTGTATATTCTTGTACTTGTGACTTGTAATTTGGGCAAAATTTACTATTACAATTTTGATGTTTTTGCTTATTACCCACGTTCTTTACTTTGCTTAATAATTACACACTTTGGATTAGATTACTAAATAAAGCACTGGTTGCAGAGAAGGACAATCAATTTTTAAGTCTTGGAACTTTATATTCAAAAACAAGATATAGCTTTGTAATTCGGTCATGTTAGCGTCACAGGTGGTCGGCGTGCATTACGTGTTAATTTTAATAATTACAGCTACTTGTATAATGTCGGGTAACTAACACATGGGGTATGAGCTGAATGGTGATGGGGAAGTCAGTGTACCCACATGTCTTTAGATATTGTTCTAATGATGGCAGTTGTGCGCACACTTGTTTTTTTTATGTAATAAGTCGGCAAACGGATTACCTGATGGTAAGCAATCAGCGCCGCCCATGGACACCCGCAACGGAGGAGTTACGAGTGCGTTGCCGACCTTTTAGGGATTAGGGATTTGGAGATTTAGGGATTGGGGAAGGGTCCGGGAAGGGAAAGGATTGGGCCTCCGGTAACCTCAGTCACACGGCGAAACACAACGCTGTGGTTGTTTCACGCCGGTTTTTTGTGAGGCCGTGGTATCACTCCGGTCGAGCCGACCCATTCGTGCCGAAGCATGGCTCTCCCACACTTAAATAATAAATGTTTTAATAGACTTTGATCCTTTTTATGTATTTCACTTATTTTCATCAACAAGAAGAACGAAAATAACATCTTGTACCAATCCACTGCTGGATCCCATTCCTTTGAGGGGGTCAAATCATTCAATGAATTTCCTAGTGTCAGTGTCGAACCATCTCTTTCCTCCTCCTACTCTACTTTGATTTTTTTTAAATACAGTTGGTTTTTTGTTAGAGAACGCTGCTACGCGGTCTTTGTCAATGTGATCTTACGCCCGGTTCCTATAATTGAGAAACGATCCGTTTTAATTACGAATAGTAGTTTTATATACGACTCGTAAGCTAAAACCATTCCTATAATAAACGTCTCGTCGTGCAACTTACTGACGGTTTGCAACTAACGGATATCGGTAAGCGAATTGTATGGAGATCTATGGTGTCTATGGTTTTCCTATAAATATTTTAACCGTCAGTAGACGGTCAAGATAACTATTCGTAATGTCATTTGGTCGTAATGCGTACAACGATGATTCGTTAAATATAGGAACCGGGCATTAATCAATAATCACAGTATTTGAAGAAAGTCTGTGACCGTTTCTAATGTCTTATAGTACCTTGGAATCCTGCATATGATATTCATCATGTCATCACATTCTTCATCAAGGCATCCATAAGACGATACTGAATTAAAGACTACTGAAACTGGGACAGTTAATTCAAAAATTGCTATTACTGTTACTAGTGGCTATTAGGTTTGTCAAGTCAATAGAGTTTTTGAAAAAAGTAAATTTTTTGTATGTTACAGGGTGGGTCCATACACACCCGCAACACGTAAAGGACTAACAAATGCGTTGCCGGCCATTTGGGAGATGAGTGTTTGGAAAGCTTAGGGATTTGGAGAGGGGAAGAGGGATTGGGCCTCCGGAAACACAGCGAAACTCAACGCGGTAAAACGGCGGTTGTCACTCGCTGGTTTTCAACGAGGCCGTGGTATCAATCTGGTCAAAGCGACGTTTGAGCCATGCTTCGGCCTTCGTGCCGAAGCATTCAACCAAACTGAAAATGCTCGATTAGTTTCAAGTCATAACGGGACTCTTATTCAATTAAATTGAATTATATGTATAAATAATTCATTAGTTGAGTGCATTTTGCGTTGATACATTCCAATGCATATATTACTGTCTATGTCTATGCTTTATTGACCCACAATTCCCTTTAGCTTAGACTAAGGTTATCTATTTATAGGTTCGCACCTAAATAAAACGTTTTGTAATTTACGATTACTCAGAAAGACAATAAGGCTTCGAACAAAGACTGAGTCATAACGAAGTTAGATAAAGTTCTATCTAACACTGTTTCATAATGTACACTTAATATTTGCAGTGTGTAATATATATGTATTTGTGAATGTGTAGGTACGTAATGTGTGGGATCTTCAATCTATATCTACTATGTCTTTACTATTATTGCAAAAGCGTCTTTTTGTTTGCCATTCTTTTACATCGAAAGGGCTAGGCGCTTTTATGGGATACAATGCCCAGCGAGCAGGCGCATCACTTGATGGTAATATGGGCTGGGGTCTGTGGATGGTATGGGATAAAGGGGGAATTGGTCATTTGTTCCGGTAACCTTACTAAGACGGTAGTTTCCAACAAGTCAAATTCAATACTTTTATCCAAATGTATAAAACGATACTTTTCTATGAAATTTTTATGAAAAACTGAATTAGGACATCATAGTTTTTTTGCGTCAAATAGTTTAAAAAAATTAGATTAATAATAGTTTTAAAAATATCTAAAATTTAGTGTTTCGATCGATCGATGAATAAAAATATAGTTATTTTTCAATATTTGATTGTATTGAAACGTCGAAATAATTTATTTTTGACCTAGGAAACTACCCGATTGCACGATATTTCAAAACTTGCCGTTCCATTTGTGCCCAAGCATGACTCTTACAACCTACCATTTTTAGATCAATTATTTAAACAGCCTATTTTACCAATTACCCCATCATCTAGTACACACACTTAATTTTCAAAGGTCAATAACCTGCAACTACCTACATACTTTAAAAGTTCAAAGTTACTGTCTCGATTCCATATGCAAATACTAAGGAAAAAGAACAGTTTATGTGTTGCCATATTATTATTATTGTTATTCAGAGAACTTGCATCACTTTGACATATGGTATCAAATGGTTGCTACATGGCAACATGTTGTAGAACCGAACATGCGAATTTATAATTAACCTTTATCTGCGACTGGCAGCTGTGGTTTTGTAGTAAACGATTTTTGTGAAGGCGTGAATTCGATTATTGAACCAGGTATCTCTGAAATTTGTCTTAATTCAAAGTCAAAATCATTTATTCCATAAACCATGAATAATAATCTATCAGTCTATTCGTCAGTGAAGCTCGTTTCAAGACATCAGTATCAATCAATGATGAACATTTAAATAAGTGCTACTAAATATCTCACAAATCCTGACGGTGTCCGATTTTATTCATTGTGTGAAGAGTACAAGTTAAATGTATATCGAACTAAATGTAAAACTATATACAGCATTACTAAACAATTCAATCAAGGAAAAGAAGACAGTGACGTACCCCTTGAATGAATAAATAAAGCTTAACTACCAACAGTCTATAATTTAAAGCACTAAAATCGTCTCTTGTTAGCGAACCCACTAAATAATTCAGCATGTTTTTAATGAATATTTCTGGTGAGACCTTGAATTTAGACGTGCACAGTCCTTTTACGATATGTGCTATTTCGGAGACTTCTTTGGAATTTTGAATGGCACGAAAAAGTGAGAAGTTATCCAAGGACGGTCGGCGTACGAGTCAACAACGCCCCTACTTTTCAAGCCATCTGTAGCCTCTACCGGTTGCACCATCAGGATTCCTAGGATCTTATTAGAATATAAAATAATCAGCTGATGATAGCGCCATGCAACCGCATAATGCTATCACAAATTATTATTGTTTCACTAATAGAAGAATTTGTTTAATCACGCCTAAGTCTTACCGGTTCCGAGCGCGTGCGCAGGCGAAGAAAAGGCGCGCGCGACGCCCGAGTCCGTCAGTCTCGCCAGGGTCGCCACAAGGGTCGGACCACAATCTAGTCATTAAAACTTTTTTTATAATTGTATTTTTATAATTTTGTAATCAAAAGGCCATCATGAAAGTGTTCATCGTACTAACAGCTGTCACCGCGCTAGCGAGTAAGTATACTTTATATATAGTTTTTGACGTTTGTGATAGTATGATTTATAGCAATCTTTGTGGAAGAAATCGAACTAAATTGAACTTTTAAATCGATATTAATTATTATAATATTTAATAGCTTGCTGCAAATCTGATATCTTAAGTATTTAGTTTATGTGTTTATTACAATTAAATTAAAACACAAAAGAATAAAATGCATGACTATCTACAAAAATATTCAAGAAGTAGGAGAAAAAATTCATCGAGTATCAATTAATTTTGAGTAAACTAATTTCGTAGCAATACTTCGCCAATGTCCCACACAAAAGACATCAACGAGCGTGAAACAAAGATGACGAACTTAACAAGTGTTCAAGATTACTCAACGAACCACTATATTAGTGTAATCAATAATTGTATGCTAATTTTAATGGCATAGTATTAGTATTTCGTGATTGGAAAATATTGAGGACGCTTGCTATCACGTAACAATACGTAGTAAGGCAATGTAACTAAATAACTCTTGCGACAGTCAATATTCACATAACATACTGTCGGTAGGTGTGGCTTATTGCACAAATGCACTTATATTGCTTATATCTTATAGTATATATAGTTGTCTACATATTACAATAAGTGTCTTTAAAAATCTCGACAGTTAATCCACTTATGTGGAACGCCAACGCGTAACTTTTTGATTTCCCCGAAATGTATTTTCGTAATAATATCGAAAGTGATTGTAACAACTGATACTTATGTTTCAATTGTTGTATGTTAAATTTAATATTATGATATAAATATAATTATAATTATATTGTAAAAAACTTAACGATCTCACAGTAGGTACCTTCTAAGTCGTTTTATATAAAATTGTAGTCGATTCTTCAAAAAACACCTATCCAGTAGATTTATTGCTATAGCAAATACTTGACCAATGTGGAGAATTTTTAAAATTTAAATGGACAATGGTTCATGTTTTAAAGTCAAGAAAGTTTGCAGAAACAATTTAACAAAAGTAACTACAGTAAAATTCTAAATGTCCCATAATCAAAAATCGCATCTAAAACACAGACAGAATAAAATATAAGGCTTTTTTTATCAATTAGTATATAAAGAACCTCCTCACGTATGTTCAGGTTCAATTGTCTGTATGTTAGTCCGTTAGTCCACCTCGTTTGCATTCATAGGCTATGTGCAATCAATTAGAATTAGTAAAGCAGTCGTGTGCAATGTCTTAATGCAGTCTATAATGGCGCTGTTAATTAATATTTCTCCTAATTAAATCCATGGCCTTTTGGACATGACCTTGAAATTAGAAATGGTAGACTTTATATTTATCAATGATAAGTCATCCAATGACTTCTTCAGTTTTCTCGCTCTGTGTTGAATGAGAGTGTCAGAACTGACTAAAACTACCCCGTACTATCTCTTTTTCCGCACCTGCCAGAGCTGAGATGATGTATCTTTTGAAAAGTTACTAGTAGTTTTGTTATAAAGTCACTTTGTGGCTATAAAAATTATCACTAGTTTTGATATAAGATATATATATGTCTTTGAGGTGAGCCGTTCATCAAGAACGATTCTCGACCCGTGATAAAACCGATTTTTTTTATTATTTACTTTTTCTTATTCCGTAATCGGTTTGAAACCTCTTGCTCAGCATTCACACTTGCCACGCCATAATGAAGTCTTGTATTAGTATGAATTTATTAACGGTTCTGAAGGGTAAAATTCGCATAGTAACAGCAGCTTATGTGACATTATACTTAGCAGAGTTCGCCAGACGTTCAATAAAATAATTTGTCTTGGATAATTCGAAGAAAATAATTATTACCATTTCATTGGCATTCTATGAGTTACTCTCGAATGACTTCCAGACCTTCTTTAACAAAAATTTATTCTGCCATAGAGATGCTTCAAACAAGATTCACTCGCATAGATACCTACTAAAAAAACAGTAATTTTTTTTACAACAAAAGCAAACAAATAGTTCTACAAACAAACATAAAAATTTCGTTTCGTTTTCCCGTCCAGTGATTTCGTTGTAACTCGACATTGACATTCACTTCCAATGTTTTTTTATTCATAAAATAAAATAAAAAAAATAAGTTCATACCAAAATTTCTACGAACAGTTGCGTGATAGTGTTGACACCAGTGATATTAAAATTTACGCAAATATCGTGGACTTTTGTAAGAAATAAGTATTGCAAAGTTTTTGTAGAATATTCATGATATGATTGAAAGTTTTATGCATTTTGAAAGATTGTTTAGTAATTTTGTCACTGAAAGTGTTGGCATGTATAACGAATAAATTTGTTAACAGGTCGTGGTTCAGACCAAAGTTATCTATTTAAGGCAATTAACCCTTTATCACATATCATCAGCCTATAAATGCCCACTTTTAAGCAAATGCCTCTTCTCACACGGATAAGATTTCAATATTAATCACTATGCTTTCTCAAGGCGGGTTAGCAATTTTAAACCTAATAATTAGAAATTATAAGTCCTTATTTATACACGATATTTTCCTTCATCGTATGTCAGAAGTGTAGAAATAAACTTAACATAAGGTTGGTCGTTAAATTATTTCACACATCGCAACATTTACTAAGAAAATCAAAGAATAATAAATAGTGGATATGCTAGTAAAATCAGTGTTCAAATAAAAGTATAACTCGTTTTTCGGAATGTATTCATACATCTACATTATGTACTTGGTCCCAAGCTATTTTCGTATGCCTGTCACTACCTGAGAAAAACGTGATTTACCTCCATGGCTAAGATTTATGTTCTTTATTGTTTTTTCGATAAGAAATCTTATATGTTCAGGGTTAAGTCCCAAAATAAATTGAAACCTGTTCTGCGGTTTTGGGTGTAATCATAAAATCACATCTTTAAGACATAGTCTTTGAATAAACTCTGGCAAAACAAATTGTCGATTGTTCTGTTTGCCTTAACACTACTCACAAATCTAATTATTATCAATCAATGTTAAATAAACATAATTTATATTTATTGGAATATAAGCTGGCCTAGTAACACGTATCTAATGGTATTTGAATAAATGAAATACCAATTTAAATAATAAATATTCAGTAAACCAGTTAAGATCGCTTGAAAAATGATCGATGCTTATTACAAGTATTTATTCTATTATATTTCGAATTGTATGTAACAATCCTATTTAGGTAACTTTTTACGACAATATGTCAAAATTTCTCTGCGTAACTTGCGAGAGGCTTAAAGATTATATAATTCGTTCACCAATATTTAGCTGCTACTAAGGACTTCTTTTAGTACTTACCTACTAAGTACATTGATTACAAGTATTCTAGTATGAAATATCAATCTTAAATCAATCCTGAATTTCTTCTCCTCACTTCTTAGAAAGAACATCACATAGTATAGATTGCTATCACCTGGATTCTTCCTGCATTAATGCAATGCTCTGCTTTAATTTTTTTTTTAAATAAATAACTTTTACTTTTAAATCTATTCTAAATACAAGTTGATAACAACCCAAGAATAAAAAAAATATTTTATACATCTTGTATGTATTCAAAACTTGAACTTATCACATATCATAAACACACATAGTTGCTAGAAAGAACGTTAAGAACTATTTTAACATCACATAACATAGAATTGTATCACATCAGGTCAGTATCATCTCGACCCTTACTGCATCAGCGCGATGCACTGATGTTGTAACACGAGTTACTTTCACTAGTTGCGTCACGCGCCGGTTCCAATACCCCTTCGATAACCATGTGTTACATTACACCGAGCTTTTGTTCGTGTATTGATTAATGATAGATGTTCTATCATTGAATGTTTGCTTTGAAGTTTGGCTGGCAGTTTGTAGAAGGTTATGAATTGTGGTGGAGACAAAAAAAGAACAATAGAATATCGGAATATGATGTCTTACTAAATTACTAAACAATTCGTCCCTTGAAAATTAATTATATCTTTTCTACGTAATCTATTTCTGATAAAACATTAGCATAAGATAACACTTGAATGACCATCTTTCTTATATTCCCTTAATAGCACTTAAAATTACTAATGTACTATCCTACTTAAAACATTTCAAACGCGAACGTTTGTTGGGATGTTCGTAAGTTTGTACCACCATCACTCTAAAACTACTGAACGAATCTGAATGTTTACTATAAGCATAGATTACATGCCTAAACCGCTAGTACAGGCTTTTAACTGTCATAATGATAAACACGGTACATACTAAGTAATTTGAATGTAATAACATAGCTTTGTACATGTTACATGATCTCCGGGTCGTGTTGGCTTGTTTTATAATACTTACAAACCCGGGTCGAAGTGTGACCTACTTTTCTCGCTGCTTTTTCAAAAGATAGTTTTAACATTATAGTTGTGTTTACAACATAACGTCTGTGTTATTTGGAATGCGTCTAACATAAATTTTGGGACGTTATTCTTTGAAGGAAGCGATAGATTTAAGTGTCCTAAGAAGTAGTTTTTTTGTAAGTGTATGATTATGTTTATTAGTGCCATTTAAACAAGAAAAAGAGGAATTAATTGCTTATATTTTGGGTACTATAAATTTAAAATGTAACACTGGTTATGATAGGTAAAATTATAAACGTTAGTATCTGATATGTAAAGTCCATTAAAAAGTACTATATTTTCCGATAGAAAAAATCGCTATATCAAATGAATATACTACAATGAAATGCTCAAGGTCACGAACACGTTAATTTAGTCCTTTAATCAAATAAATTTGTTCTACATAAAAATCTCATTTCAAAACCAATATAATTATGTTGATTTTTGTATATAAAGTAACTGTTTACATTATTTTTGGAATTAAACATAATTCCCATTTAAATAATAATAAATTTAATCAATAATATCGTGGTAAAATATTAATTTATACAATTCATACGGCCTTGACAGTTAAAGTTGATTTACATTGCAAAAAAGGAGCAGCTATTCCTAAAATGTCAATCTAAATATTCAGTTAGTGATGTGATGCAAATATAAATCTGTATACTCGTCTGAGCACTAATATTACGATCTTTTATACCTAACTGTGAAATAATAATTCTTTACAACCATTTTCCTGCATTTTTATGAAGGTTATTTTATTCATGTTTCCCGTGTTTTCCATTTTTAAGTTATTGATTATTACTTAATATTACTGAGTACTGAGTATATCACTATTACTCACAATATCCAACAATTTTTTTATTAAAATATTAAAATTTACATGCTATAAACATTTCTTGTAACCAAGCTATTTAATAAGGTTTAAATAACACTATTTAATGGACTATCGACGTCTAGGTACTAATTTTTTGCTGTATTAGAAAACGATTTCACAATATTTTTAACAAAGTCATTGGCATCACAATGAAAGTGGACAAAAAGGTCTCGAAACAAGCAAAAGATTTGAGCAATTCGAGCAAAAACCAATCACAACACTAGTCGACATATCGGGCAAATGTCGAGAACGCTCGAATGTGTGTCACCCCTTATGTAAGAGTACATTCTTATATAAGACAAACTTGATCTGTTTCTGAGAAGAAACAACTTGATTATTTACCTAAATCGGCTTTCACTATCGGTTCGATTTTCGGGTGAACCGGTCCGACCGGAACGGTTTCGGTCGACCGATTCTGTAACTAATCTAATTTGGTAGTTAATGAGTGAGATTTATTGTTTTTTGGCAATATTTTTAATGATGGCCCCTAATTGGGTTGCGTTAATGCTTTTGTATGTTGCTGTAACGTGTCTGGAACTTTTTAGAATTTGTATTTGATTTAAGCGCGTCGTATGTAACAAGTCGTTTCAGATACTTCTTGGTACGACTTAATGAAAAGTTGGGAAGGTTTCCTGAAACCTAATTACCACCGATTTCCATAACCGAAACTCAAAATTAATATTCTTCCACAAAGTCTACTATTACACATCTTCCAGAACCTTCCTATCGCTCAGTGACTAATTCAACTTTATCCCTCAGGTGCACAATTCAAATGCCCCAACAAGGATGGCCAGTACGAGGACCCCGTCCAGTGTGACAAGTTCTACGAGTGTGTGGACGGTGTTGCCACCACCAAGCTGTGCCCAGACGGTCTGGTGTTCGACCCCACCATCAGGAAGATCAACAAATGTGACCAACCCTTCAACGTAGACTGTGGAGACAGGACTGAGCTCCGTGAGTTTTAATTTAATTGATGCACAAATACACATTAAGACCAATTATTAATGAGGAAAAATATTACATTTGATGTAATCAGTATAGTATTTTTATGTATTTATTTATTTTAAGGTAGGCTCACAGCTTATGTATACAAATTTCCAAAGACAAAATATAATGATTTTCGCCTGTCATCAACATCAAGCTGAGTCTTGTTTTTTACTTACTAGCGACACATTAATACATTTGTTGAAATTAAATTACAAAAATAAACTTCTGAGTCTAACAAAGTACAATTCTCAGAAAATCAGAAATGCGGAAAAAAAATACAGAACGCATTGACCAACTGCATAGTTAGATCAAATGTCAGTATGAGGTCACTTGCGACAATTCATGTAGTGAAGGTATCCCGTCCACCTTTGACCGACTAGGTCGTGGCGACACGCCGCTGACTTTCTAGGCCAACTGGTAGACAATTCTAGATATTTACATGTAAGCATTTCTTGTGAACGTTTAGTGTTTGAAATAGACTTTTTAAATACTTGGCTTGTGTCGGTGTTCTCTCTTGATAAATCTAGTTTTCTATCACCGTAGGAGTAGACTACTGCTACTGTGCTACTTGCATTTAGTATTCTTAGCAGAAGTAGTTAGCATTCAGTCTCTTTAATAGTACAATTTATTAAAACATTTTAGCTGAAAATAAGAGAGTGTTGGATAATTTATGTGCAAAGAGGCCCTATATCAAAACTCGACTGTTTTAATTTTAGACTGATTTGGTCCATAAGAATGTCTGGCACATAAACCAATATACATGTTGGTCAATATTGATTTTTAAAGATTTTTATACATACAATATGTTTTGATATTCCAAGTAAATAACATTAACATTGGAATGTACAACAAAGTTACGGTTTAGGAACACTACATGAATGTGTGGAATGCAACAAGTTTTCGTTCGTGACTTGGAAACTAAGTTAGGGAACAACTTTGTCAGTGTCAGGTTAAGTAGAGATCTATGGACAATTTTGTTGGATAAAAGTTTGACTTGATAATATTTTATTTTATTATATATTTCAAAAACATTTTTATTATATGAAGCAGTAAATATCTTAACTCACGGAACCACTTTAGCCATTACAAACTATACAGGAACTTTGTCACATAATAGGCGTAAATAATTATAAATAGCTGAGATCTTGACATAACCCAGTGAAAGATACCAGAACCAATCGACTTCCTTAACCGCGTAATGCATTTGTCATTTCCTACAGACCACTCAAGGTCGATGACTTTCAACCTTAGTAGCTATAAAATAGGGATAGAATTTGAAATAATCAATAATTTTGTTACGCTTATTCTAAGATGGGCAAATGTGGAAAAATATCGTATTCGTAAATTATTCTATTTTCAAAAAGTTGATTGCTTTGATGAAGCCAGTCGAATTAATAAAATGACTTGTTTTTTAAATGCAAATTTTAAAGTGCAATAGGTCACATAAATAGACGTATAATTAGTTTGAGCTTTTGTCGTTTCCAAATATATTTTATTTGGCAACAAATTTAGTTTTACTTATTATAAGAACGTGTGCATTTCAAGTTTAAACACACGATTTGGCTTCAAAAAGATTTATATGGTGTTATGATGAGATATGATATCAATAAACGATATTCTCCGTGATTAGCATTCATCAATAGAACTAGAATTTACGATCTGAGAGTCGATATTCAATTTTTAAACTACTTCAAAGTAAAATATACATTTGTCAATTAGACAGAATTTCTGTTTTTTTTAAATACTTACAAATGTCTGTTCTTACAGAACCTGCCAAGCCCAACAGCCAGTGCCCCCGCCGCAACGGTTTCTTCGCCCACCCTGACCCATCCATCTGCAACGTCTTCTTCAACTGCATTGAAGGAGAAGCTACTGAAGTCAAGTGTACCGCTGGTCTCCACTTCGACGAGTACTCCGGAACCTGTGTCTGGCCTGACTCTGCTGGCAGACAGGGATGCCAGGTGCAAGAAAGTAGGTGTTAATGCGACACACATCAATTTGTTTTTGAGGGACACTTCTTCCTTTGTTTAGGGAGTCAATTAAATGTAAATTTTAAGTTTACCTAGGATTAAGACATTGAGCTTGAGCCATTTTTAGATAAAATGTCTTTTTCATTACATTATTTGGAATACAAAGGGTTTAGATTGAAACATTGATTGAGTTAATATAAAACAGTTAGAGACAATTTTTATTCGACGAGGTCACTAAAATATTAATCCTGAATTTTCTATTGCAGAGAAAACCAAGGACGGTTTCGAGTGCCCAGTCCAGCAGCAGGTAGATGCTCAAGGCCAGGCTATCGCCCACCCCAAGTTCCCCCACCCCACTGACTGCCAGAGGTTCTACGTGTGCCTCAACGGTGTAGAGCCCCGTGACCTTGGTTGCCAAGTCGGAGAAGTCTACAACGAGGAATCACAGAAATGTGACGCCCCTGAGAACGTGCGTGGATGGTGAGTTGAAGTGTTTTCTTTAATAAATAATAACAGACTATTAAATTATATAATAATAAATCAATATTCTATTTTGACAAAAAACATTAATAGATATTTCTTGCCAAAAATTTAAACCAGCCTTGAGATTGTCAATAAAATCCTTATTTAAATAAACTTACTCCTTATAACTAGTACGATATAACATATAACGCTATAATCTGAATCATCTACTATTCTAATTCTCATCTTTATACTTTCAGTGAGGACTGGTACAAAGACGCCGAAGATGCCGCGCCCGCCCCCAAAGCGAGATCTTAAGCCTAGTGATATCATAACATAGTTGTATGCTAAGACTTAATAAGTTAAATACATTTTAAGTTAAAATATCTGCATTTTCTTTTTCTTACCCTTTTTTATATTCCTAGTAGATTGGTGTGAAAAGAAGTCGCAACTGCTACTACCACGAACAGTATCTCAGGACCTATTGTCGAGTAGGGTAAAGTTTCAGTACAAATAATCGCTACGGCAAAACAAACGAAAATCCATAACCCAGAAATTCAAGCTGAAACCTCTAGCTTGAAGATTGAGTTGAAGGATTTGAATGCTGAGAAGAATATGATAGATTCTTCGGTTTTTCAAAAATTTTTGGTATTCAGCAGTTATGAGTCTGGATTCTGGAACCACTGTTATATGGGTTCCATAATTTCTAAGCTTGATAACTGTAACACTAAAGTAAAATGTATAAAAACAAAAGAGAATTTACGATAAATGTTAGTGATATACAACCTTATAATTAATCGTAAGTCATGTAAGTTCAATCAGCCGGATATCATTAAGGCTCAGCCTTATATTAGGTTTGTTGGAAGCCTTGGTCGGCACTCGTAACTCCCCTCTTACGGGTGTCCATGGACGGCGCTGATTGCTTACCATCAGGTAATGCGTATGCTCGTTTGCCGGTCTATTACATAAAAAAAGCATTGCTGTAAAAAATCTAAAATAAAAAAATATACCAATAATTTGAAAATATTTTGAGTGTGCAAAATTTTACGCACAAAAGGGATGATGACAAGGAAGCTTCAATAGTCATCTTTTCGTTCAGTCTTAAACGTTATAAAATCGTGGTTTTCATATCTACGCAATACTACTTTGGTTACGTATTGAATATCGTATGATGTCACGATTTAACGCATTAATACTACTGTACTACTAGTACTGACTTCGCACTTATTAACTTGAATTAGTTTTGTGTAAGTAATATTGAATGAGCAAAACTGACTTTGCATTATTTGGTAATCGAAACTATGGTCCCTTGCTGTATTCAGATTTGCAGTGGTGACAACTCTACCAACTTTACAGTCATCATCATGATCTCGTGACAATCTTTCGCTGGACTACAAATCTCCTAGATATGAGAGACTTCGTAATAACCATCATACTAAGATCACAATTTCAATAAATCTTTTTTATTTGACGAAATTCGCTGCTGTTAGGTTTTTCTCAAATATGCAGTCCATTAGTCAGCTGTTTACGGCGACCGACCCCATGTCGGCAAGTTTCAACAATGTTGGACATTTACTAGCAGATCAGAGAGGCCGGTCTTCAAGCTAGTGATCGCGCAAAAACGCGCTATGATCGACGAGCCAATTCTGTTGGGTTTGAAGAGGGGTCATTGGTCTGGCTTCATAATCCAGTCAGAAGTAAATTCGTTATAGGCCTTTTGTAGAGCGGGGGGGATCGGACCTCCAGTAACCTGACCCATACGACGTAAACCAACGCTTAGATTTCGTTGTTTCACGCCTCGTTTCTGTGGTGGTTGTAAAATAAATAGAGCTTGACATTATACCCGGTGGTGATCTCAGCATTAGATTTCAAAGTGTATCTCATTTAATTATGTTGTGTAATAATCTAGGTGAAGTTAACTGACTCTTCTAAATGTAATTAGGTTAAAACTTAATATTTAAAACAATTGAGCTAGCATTGTATAAAGAGTCTATGTTTTTAAATAAAATTTATTTTTACCCTAGTAGCAGTTGTCGTGGTGGCTCGGAGTAAAGACTTTTTCTATAAGTTCTTAGAAAGTACATGTACTTTGTATGAATATTAAGACACCAATGACATTGTGAGGGAACCTGGACTTGCAATTTCTATTTATAAGTTAGAAATCGCCAATCCACCTTGAGCAAGTGTTGCCCTTAATGCTCAAACCCTCGCCGTGTGAGAAGAGGCCTTTGCTCAGCAGTGGGCAGGACACATATAGGCTGATGATGATGTGGTGTATAACCAAGTAAAAACAAAACTACCTTTGTACATAACTGCTTTTACATAAACGTTCTCTCATTGACGATAGTTAAAGGTCAAGCAAATGTCAAATAAGAGTCAAATGTTATATTCAGGTAAACGCATGTGAAATGCCAACCTGCTATCTTCTTTGGTGAAGAAATACGAATTGAATGCCCATATTTAGTCCCGGTTATGGAAATCCGAACTGGCTTGACAGATGTCAGTCTTGCATTTACCAGTCACGCGTAAAGTGATGTCGAAGTTAAAGCAATTTCGTTCTGTGGGAAACATATGATAGATATTCTTGTTCCGACATTTCCTTTTTTGTAATTTGTAATTATTTAAACAAGTGACATGCCACTTATTTCATCTATTACTATATTGAAATCTATCAAAATTAGTGCATCAGTTTTAGCATGAAGCCATTACAAAGTTTTTCAAAATTTGTTCTTTTTTTTAACCGCTACAGACTGCTGGATGGGCCAGGCTTGCGGAGTAAGCGAAATTAGGCACCGAGGCATCGAGTTGAAAAGTGATTTTCCCCTAACAAAAAAAAGCAAAATTCAAAAAAGACCATTATTCTAAGTTTGAATGTGCCGCTTATGTTGACATATGACATAACACTAGTGAACAATTCCTTCATACATCAAGACTCATTAAGTGACTAGTAGGGTGGGCAGTTCTTAGTAACACAGTCACAATTCACATTGTCTCCTAGACTATTACATTATGTTTCCTACGTGTACTGAGAACTAATTTTTGAAAGCTCATTGTCTGTTCTGTAGTTGCAGACACATGATAAATGTCCAGTGTAACCTGAACTCTATATTTGTTCAACGTAGAGGAGTTGAAATGTTAGGTTTTTTGGTCATGTCAGTCTGTGTCATTAGTACATTGTATGCAGTGAGAGGATGTGACGAATTTTATAATTGTTAGACAATATGTCTGATGATGCATTACAATGAGGCATTTTGTTATAGTTAAAGTCTAAAGAATGTTATTTTCTCTTTTTTTCGCTCTGTGTTCAGTGATGACATAACAATACATTAAAATGTTTTAAGACTTTGTTAATGAGGATTTCTGTGTGCATTTTGAGTAATTGTGTTTTAAGTATTTGATGTAACCTTTACGTATCCGTATTATACAGGAAAATTATTTAAATTTAATTTCCTTGAGACGTCAGATTATGGACCATTTCATCTAAAAATGAAGTCAGCATAGTTTACAAATCTTAAACATAAATTAAATTAGTGTCGTGGTGGCCCGGAGGTTAAGGAGTCCGCTTCTCATGCATGAAAATCGTGAAAAAAAAAGGGTTCGAAATCTGGCAAGTACCAATGTGACGTTTTCCGAGTTATATCTACTTTCTATGATTATTAAGACACCACACACATACGGTGAAGGTAAAAATCGTGAGGAAACCTGGACTTATAATTTCTAATTATAAGTTTGAAATCGCCAACCCGCATTGAGCAAGCGTGGTGATTAATGCTCTAACCTTCTCCGTATGGGAAGAGGCCTTTGCTCAGCAGTGGGATTTATAAGTTGATGATGGAAACATAAATTTAATTTACACAATACAATAAAATTATTGGATGCCTTTCAAGTCCTTACATATAACGAAGCAGTCGTAAAGGTTGATGACCTCAGTAAAATGTTCCAATCTAAACTAAGGTATCTTTTTATTTTGTATGGCCTCCAAAACTGTTCACCTTGCAAACTGGAAGACCTCAGGTTACTGCTGATCGAATTTAGGGATCCGTAAATGCGAAACACCCATTCACTTTTATAATTCTAGTTTTAAAACTGACTGCACAGTTGACAAGGTGACTGCACACAGAACAACTCTTTATGGGATCCATAAATTGTTATTGTAAATGACACAATTCGTAAGAGTTTAATTCGTAACACATTATAAGTAAAACATAGAAAAATATGTGACAACAACTTCAAGGTATGACGTGGAATCCTGCAACAATAATAGTAGTAAAACAACAAGCTTTTGTACAGAATTAAGGAAGAAATACAGATCTGATATTATTTTAACGATAAAACCAAGATTTGGATTCATATTAAAACAACCACAGCCGAATCTAAACACTAATTAAACTAAAACTAAAATGTAATTAAGATAAAAATCTAGATTTCTCAACAAGAACAATGAAGTGTCTATTCTATTTTTTTTCTTTAAAAATATTTAATTTTTTATTACATTTTCAATGTCAATACAGTTATTTTGCCCTCTATTAATTTTAAAAAAGTCAAAAGAATATTTGTTCATTTAACTTTTTTTATGGAATAGGTCGGCGAACAAGCACACTGATTACCTAATGGTAAGCAATCGGAGCCACCGACAGAGATCAGTAACACCAAAAAACTTACAAGTGCGTTGTCAAGGCAGGTTAGGGATAAGGGCTTCAAATATTTAAGGTTTAGAAATGGCCTCCGGTAACCTCACTCACGGCGAAACACAACACTGTAGTTGTTCATGCTGGTTTTCTGTGAGGCCGTGGTATCACACCGATTGAGCTGACCCATTCGTGTCGAAGCTTGGCTCTCCTACACTTAATCTTAATATTGGTAGCTCTGGTATTTGTTTTGCTCAGTAATTTAACCTTAATGAAGTTTTTACAACAATCACCTCATTAATCTGAATAAAAATAAGAATGTTGTACAGGTAATTGTTCCTTCTTACCTTACAGGGAAGGTCCAGTTTAGTTTTTTATTATTATTTATATATTGCTGCTAATGAGGTTGTATATGTATGTGTGCGTTGCCACCCAGGGAATATGATGAATACGGTGCGAAGCCTAGATTAAGCTTTTTTTTGTCAGGGTAAAATCATCCAATGACTTCTCCCGCCCCGGGCTGGGCGGGAGGGAGTGTCAGACTCTTACTGACTAAAAACCCCCCCGTTCCTTCTCCTGCTCTGGGCCGAGATCGCAGTGCCTCATTGCGCTTACCCCGCAACCCCAGCTGAACATCAGCCCTATTGGGCCCCGTCTGTGGTGGTCTATTGGCTCTTTGAGTAGCGCGCGGAACGCTACGCGCCGTACGCTCGGGTCTGGTTCTGGTCGGGCGGCGAG